TATATATATATATAATTTAAATTCAAAATCAGATTAGTTTTCATTCTATCCAGTATAATTATGACTTGCTCCACCATAACCTAACAATGAATGGAAAAAAGGGGTTATTTGTAACAAAATGATTGTGCAACTTTGTGCACACGTGGGGATGAACTGGCCCTTTTTCCATCCTTTAAAGTCCAGGGCAGTTATTCAGTCCAGGGCTGTCAGCCTGCCTACATTACACTAAGTGCCTCAAACAGGGCTCCAACAGATGTCATGGCTCATTTCAGAATGCCAAGGAGCCTCGTATTCGTACTCATTGGAGCAGGTAGAACTGGAATAACCAGGCTGAAGCTGGAAAAACAACCAGAATGGATGAATTTGAAGTTGCAGCTAAAAACTTTCTTATCCAACAAGGCAAGAATTTGGAGGTTACGTCTAAAAAGCATCATAAAGATGCTTATAGAAGAAGAGAGAACAGAGTAACTTCAGCTACCTGAGCTAAAGGTAAACTTAAAAGCTCTGGCTGAAAAAAACCCCAGCAGGAACCCACCCTGGGAGTATTGAAAGGTCCTTTGGATCTTCAAATATGTTGTTAAAGCTGCAGTTGGTCCAATTCTATATGTTGACAGGAAAACGCGTTGTACAATAAACTGAGAAAATATAATGTATCGTGTGCCACGTAGACATGCAAGGTTTTCTCTTTCTCTTTCTTTCTCATTCCGGTATCAAACATAGAACTCTGGGTTGGGCTGGGTATTTTCGCCAAAGCCCTGAATCGATTTGATTTTGATTCTTACAGTTCTAAGTCGATTAATTTTGATTTGGTCTGTTTATACAATAATGAAAGTGCTTCTACTATGTTTCAAAATACTCCTGTATTTAATTTTTTCCTGTCATATTAAACACAAAGTGCGAACAAAACTGTCTCAAAGGTGCAAACTTGTTTGTGAAAAGTAAAATAGTGAAGCCTCACTCTAGCAAGCAGACGTGACACAGCGGGGACACAGCAGACATTCATGAGCTGCATTATCTCCACTGCACAAACCATATTTGCAGCGTTTTCTGTAACAACTACAGGGTGTTTGCTGATCAGCCCCCATTTGTTAATGTCATCAATCAACCTATTGGCTATATTTGCAGCTGTCTGGCTTGAAGTAATCTTGAGAGCATCTTTCCTGCTCATTTGAATGTGAACGTCATGCGCATCACTATAAAACTAATCTATCTCTTTCCCCAGACATCGATTTTGCAAAAATGTAAAGGAATCGATTCAAAATCGATTAAATCGATTTTTTTTTTTTTTACCCAGCCCTACTTCAGTGTTAGGTTATTCTTATACATTTTTCTAAGGTCCATGTTTGTGTGACCATTTTTTTCTATAATCTTTTTGCTGCCATATCAACAGAATTTCCCCATTGTGGGACAATAAAGGGATATTCTATTCTATTCTATTCTATTCTATTCTATTCTATTCTATTCTATTCTATTCTATTCTATTACTGCTTAAGTAGACATCAATACTGACAACAAAGAAACAACACTGTTGGTGTGTTAACCACCCTTTGAGTTTTCCTGCTAATCTTTTCTAATGTTGGCGATTTGCTTCTTTCTCTCATCAGGTCAGAGCTTTTCCTTTGGAAGTCTGGGAGGAAGTCTTCCTAAATCTGCCCCCCCATTTCGTAGTCTGTGTTTGTCGGTTGGTTTGCCATGAGTGGAAAGATGTGGCAGACAGCGAGTCTTTCTGGAAGGAAAGATGTAGAAGAGAGGGATATCAGCTCCATGATCCTACCAAAGTACCCAGAGACTGGAGGATGTTTTACTTCTTATCTAAGAACAGAAGAAACCTCATCAAAAATCCACGTGCAGAAGGTAAAACTTTAAAGTTAGCAGGGCTGCAGCTGACAATAGATTTACTAATCAATGGATCTGTTTACTAATTGTTTGTTTAACTGATTAATAATTGCATTGTAAATGTGTTAAAGCTAAAACTGCCAGTTTGGCTTACAAAACTAGAAGGCTTTTAATCTGAATCTCAAAATATGTTTGTTTTTTTTTTTGTTATTTATTATTAATTCTTTCCATTAATTATTTCTTTGTAAACATTGTTCTTTAAAGCTACAGTGTGTAATAATTACAGGGATATACAGTCCGAAATGTAATATATTATATATAACTATGTTATTTATCATCATCTACGAGCTCAGC